GATAGGTAATATAACAGGTAATCGGATATACAACAGGTAGAAAAACGACTTAATGGTGTGCAAGCAGACAATTTACTAAAGTAAAATATGTAATCAAGTAGAAACCAATGTACATAGCAACTTAAACATGTAGGTAAGACTCATTAGAAAGACGAGCAAGAAAATCGGGTCCTATAAAGCACGATTGCCCACAAGGAGCCTATTTGCCTACTCTCTACCCTCCTGTCAATACCCTAGTCACCTGCTACCAGATCCTACTAAAATATCGGCCACTCTAGTCCTATCAAAGATCATGTCCTCAGAAATGCCTAAAGCTGCCATGTCTATCCTTAGCTGGTCAACCCACATCAAAAGTAACCCCCCCCCCTCTATTACCAGCACTCCAGCCCATAAAGGCTCAATTTTGTATGGCAAGCATTCAGCCAAGATTCTTAATTTCTTCCTAACACAAATAAGCATGCTTAAATAAATCACATTATGTACTCCCAACAAAGCATTTGTTATTATTTCAATAGAATCAGGCCTTGTTTACATTTACTTGTTTATTATAAAGCTATCACATCCTGTCAATCATATAAAAGGCATGCACAAACAATTTTTAAGAAATATTTATGGAAGGCTTCCCCCATATCTTTTCGATTATTAACACTCTTTTCTTTACTCCACTACCTCAATTGTTAGCTATGTACACATCAGGTGATGCACATGGTAGAAATTTTGTTTCAAACAAGCATGCTCACTTCACATGCATGAAGCTAACATTAAGTAGAAAAAAAATCAAGATATTCGATCCACTAACACCAGCAGAAAGTCTTATATTGTTCAAATTAAATATGCAACCGCTTCACAATATGCCAATAGTTTTAGCTATCCAATTAGTTCAGTCATATGTTTCAAGTTGGATCTACTCTTCTAGATGTAAGAGTGCATAGAAGAAGGTAACTATTAATGAGATGGTAATTCAGAGGAACAAAACAGTACTTGAGAAGTTAAATATGATTATGAAATGAAGAATTTAGGAAGAAAACAGACATCAGAGGGAAAATAAAGAGATGCATGCACAGAGTTACTTTGATACATGTGAGCTGCTGGAGCTTGTGCCTTTCATAGCAAGGAATCGTGATACAGTCATGGCTGCATTTAGCTTAATTTGGATATGCTTGTCAAGTATTACAAGCCATAGACTGCTTTTAGGTGAAGTATAGCCATATACAAGATTGGTATACTTCTTAAATTGCTCCTAAGTGAAAACTTTAAGGCAACTGATTCAACTCTCTTAATTGAAATGCACATCTATAGCATACCCAGAATGCAAACATTGCATCCTGATGATGTGAACCTTTGCACTGCAAATCTCTATCCTACAAACTACCTAACCAACCATACTTACATGATTTAAAAAATATAAACGCATTTAAAATTCACTCACATATCAATCGAACTTCAGCCTGAGTAGCTAGGTTACGGCTTAATCAAGGACCATTAGATGTATATTACACAAAGGCAATAACAACAAAGCAACAAGAATCATTTTGTCCCAAATTAGTTTCAGAAGGGTAAATTATTATTAAAGTACACAAAATCATAACACAATGAACCCAAAGCAGACAGAGAAGGGTAATGCCCATAAGGTTATGGAGCAGGAATGATGTCCATTCAAGCATTAGTGTGTAAGGCCCATTTAGTACTCTAGACAGGCACATCTTCTCATCACCCCCCATGTCAAATTTTGGTCAACCTCTACCTCTTTAAACAACCTCCTTTCACTACATGACTCTTCTACTAACCAGTACATTCATTCAACCTCTACTGGTGTTGCCTCAGCTTCTTCCAAACCAGTGCCACACCTATATCTCCCATACAAATCCATTTCCAACAATATTCTTCATTGTATAGCCATACATCAACCTGAACATTCACCTCCAACACTCATGGCCTAACAATTTGTCCCAAAAATCAAGCAGAACCTCTTGTTGATTTCTCCCAAACCAGTGTCACATCAATCTTCTCCCATATATATTCAATTCTAATGATATTCGCCAATGTATTCCACAACAATCATCCTGTCTCCATGTGTTCTAATGCCCAACATTTCCCCAATGAATCATAAAAAGTCTTACCATTTTTATCATCTTGTATACACAGCTTTTTGAGTTTCAATGAGATTTTTCGATCACAAAAGACTCCCAAATTATATTGTATCTGTACCATGTCTTTCTGTGGCCAACATACCCACTGTAGGCCTTACAATTGTACAACAGAAAACTTAGGCTTTCAGCTTCAGTAGAACTTCTCATCGCACAAGACTCCTGAAATTTCTCTTCCATCAACCAAATCCTCATCTTTATTAACATATCCTGATCGATATCTCTATCATTCAGTAACATCCTAATCAATCAGTACATCCTCTATTAACGTCCTAATCAATCTCAAAATCCTCTCTAGAACTCATCCGAAATAATGAAAATGAAAGATAAAATTGCACTTTGTATACTCTCACCTATTCTAGCTGAATCTAAAGCAAGTTCGCCAATCAATCCCTCCTTGTTTCAATTGGAAAGAGACTCTCTCTTGACCTTGATTTGCCCTTCTAGATTCAGTTGTTTATCTCCAATCCTCCAAATGGCATTACCACATTGCTAGTCTTTCAATTAACAAATTACTACATATGGCACTCCTTTGACACTATAAACACACAACCTGAGTCATGCTCACAGAATTCAAGTATCTGGCAGAGAGGACAATTAACTATATCAAGAATCTATAAGCAAGATTTTGGTCATTTGGTCCACTGCTAGCCAGACTGACCAAATGGCTCATGGGAAAAGCAAATCACAGATCATCGAACACAAGAAAATCTATGGCAACTACCAAATCATCCATCAAACGTTATCATTTTTTTTCTTACTCGGATGCTCTATTTACAAAAAAGAAAATATAGTGAGTTTGGTCGGTTAGGTGGTTGCAAAAGATTTGACCATCAAAACATCATTTTATAACTGATAAGGCCGGAACTCGGAATAGAAAACAAAATCAAGAAAACTACCTGAACACCGCCATCGCCGGCTGCACATGGAACTAAAACTGGGCCGATTTGATGAGCTCTATCTACAGGAACTTGAACAGGGACGCTAAATCCTTTACGAGGGAGATTACTATAATCACGATGATAAATTTCTTCAACTGGATTGACATCATTGTTCCCATTAACATCATCCTTGTTGACTTCGTGCAAGTCATGATTTCCAAACCCTAATAATCCCGCTACCCTCTTGAAAAACCCCATTAAATCGTACGAAATTAAACTAGAAATGGAGAGTAGGATTATGCATATACAGACATGGATTTATATGATCTGGAAACTTGGAAGTTGAGAGGTTTAAGAGGCTGCAGTGAGTGTGATTTGAAGGTTTGCGTATAAATTTTAGCATCAATTATCGTCGTTACGAATGGAGTATGAACCAGATATTTTGTGTTTAAAATATTTAATTATGAAAACCCTCCTTGTGGTTTACCAAAAATCATGATATCATCCTTGCAATTTTGGAATTACCACAATTGAATATGGATATTTATTTATTTTTGATTAACCTAGATATTTAACCGCTATGCAAGCCAACTAATTTCAGAGTAACCACCTGTTTTTGCAGGTAAACCGGAGTAACTGAATTTGAACCTCCGTGACCACAAGATAATTTTTATTTCTCCTTAGATTTAAACTTGAGACCTTTAGACACTTTGACCTTTAGAGTTCAAGCTTAAATCAATCAGGCACCACCCTTGTGGTTAATTGAATATGGATATACTTCTCATTGCAATGGCTTTTGGGTATTAGGTAGCGTTTTGTACGCAGACATGACTCGACAGTACAGAACTGAGCATTAGGGTTGTGTTTTGTCTTATTTTGTGGTGTATATGTTATGTCGTAAAACATCTTCAACAGCTTTTTTAAAATAAAGAATCAAAATCTCCAAATTTCTCTATTTTAAAAATTACAGTATGAATTATATTATTAAAAATATTATTTATCTCTATTTAATTTCAAGGGTTCTAATCGTAGGAAGAATAAAAAAATAATTTCTCTTTCATATATAATGAGTTTTGGAGGATTCTTTATTTGGAGAAATTCATTCGCTTATACATTCTCCATTTTGGAGAAGATTTTACATATTCTATTGAAGCAAAAATCCTCAAAATATCAAAATTCATGAGCATCTGTCGGAGATGCTCTTACACACTATGTGTCTTACTACATTATCTTTTGTATCAGGGACGGACCCACAATTTTTTTTAAACGGTTGCACCATTTGACCATAAAAAAAATATATAGGAATTTTTTTTCAAACGGTGATAGCGTTTGACTATAAGAAACAAATATACGGAATTTTTTTCAAACGGTGGCACCGTTTGACTAAGAAAATGACACTAACATGATTCGGACTTGGGTGTAGGGTGGAATAAAAGCCTTGCAAACCAATTTTACCAAATAAAACTTGTTTTCATTGTAGTTTTAAAATACATATGGTGGCACACAACAAATTAATACGGTTGCACCGTTCACGAAACCTAAATTTTTTACCCTTCGGCGGAGAAAAGATACGGTGGCACATGCCACCCATGGCACCTATGTAGGTCCGTCTATGTTTTGTATGGTTTCAATGTACCTATTCGTTGTTGTTTTTTTTTCTCGTTCTATGTTCACCATGTACTAGTCTATGTTCTTGTTGTGTGTCGTCGTGTCACTTTTGCACAAGTCGAAGGTTTTCATGGAAACAATCGTTATACTATTTTGGGTAGATGTCAGGTTTGCGCACATCTAATCTCTAGACCTCACTTTCGAGTGAGATTTACTAGGTCGGTTTTGTTTTGTTGATAAAATTCTTTCAAGTCTCAACAATACATCATATGTGAATAAATGTTACGTGAAAGGACCAGATATGTTAAGTGCTCGAAAATAACCTTCGGGAAGGGTCCATTATTGTTAATAGACAAAACTTGGAAAAATATTAAAAGATTAAGTAATTATTAGAGATTTTAAAATTAAAATTTAAGTAATTCCATTTAGAGTGAATTACATTTTTTGTTTTTGTGGTTGTCACTCATTATCAAGTTTGATCTATTTTTTAAATTAGTTACAATTTTAATTACGGTGGTTGTTATTTTATTTCACTTTTGGTTATTCTGACTAAGGGGCTGTTTACCAAATTTTCTATTAAGTCCTGTATGGATAAATTTGTCTGTCTGGATAAATTTGGCTGTCTGGATAACTTTGGGTTGTTGTTTACTTTTCTATCTGAATCAACAGTCTGAATAACAGAAATGACCAATTTACCCATGAGTATTAACCATGGGCTGTTTAGTATACTGTTAAACAAACCCAAAATAAAAAAGGAAACCGAGCAGCAAACAATATACTGGTTTAAGCACCTCTGGTTTAAGCAGCAAACTGAAGCATTTACAGCAAAAATCGAGCAGGACACAGAGCAACAACAAGAGCATACAAAATAAATCGAGCAGCAAGACTGAAGCATTTACAGCAAAATCGAACAGAGCATACAAAAAATGGAATCTAAGACCGAATCGAACAACAAAATCGAGCATACAAATCAAAATCGAGCAGCAAAATCGGAAGCATCAAAATCGGAAACTGTACTAAAGCAAACAAAGCATACAAAATCGAGCAGCAAAATCGGAAGCATCAAAATCAGGAATCAAGCAGCAAAATCGGAAGCATCAAAATCGAGCGAATCGAACATAAGAGCATCAAAATCGAACATAATCTATAGATAAGGAGAAGAGTTTACCTTTGGAGAAGAGAAGATTGGAAATCGAGAAGCAAAATCAGTAGCAAAATCGCCGATTAGGGTTGGAGAAGAGCAAACATGTCGAGAGCGTGGGCTTTACAAGGGTAGCCAGGTCTTTTTTGTTGCTTAATGGGGACAAGTGGTGATATTGGGCTGTGCGATTAAGCCCCTGTCTGGGCGAATAAGCTCGAAGTAAACAGCCTAAAATGACTGTGCGAATAAGCCGGTTTATCCGGTAAGCTCATTAAGTCACAAGTAAACAGCCCCTAACTATTGTTAAAAAAGTCAGTTAACTTTTTTTTCCTTTCTTTTATGTATAGAGTAAATTACAGTTTTCATCCTTGTGGTTAGTTCTTTTTCTTTTTGTCTTTCCTATTGTTTCATTTTTTATTTTATACCTTTTATTCTATTAACGATAATTTAGATTAAAAATACGTATTTTATTTTATGAATTACACCTTTAAAAAAGTTTTATTGATACCTTTAAATGACTTAATTATTGAATCTTTTTAAATTTTTGTGCAATTTATTCAATATATATCTGCAAATCCGTCTACACTAATTCAAAAAAATATTTTATAATCCTAAGTTGGGTTCGAAAAATATATCGTCTTATTTATGTATGATAAAGATCGAAATTTATCTGTCTATTAATAAAAAATGTATATTTTTAAGATATTTCATTTAATTAAATGTTTTCTTAATTATGTATCAAATAAAAATCTATACTATCTTATAATGCATTTGACTAAAACTCTTAAAAATTCTTAAAACTCTTAAAGACAACCTCTATTGCTAATGGTACAACCTATTAAAGCCATCCCTAAACCTTATCCGATTTCATCCCTATCCGATTTTATCCCTATCCGATTTCATCACCAACAGAAATGATTTCATCTCTATCCGATTTCATCGCCAACAGATTTTGAAGAATACAGATTCGATTTCGATTTTCAAGAATACATATTCGATTTAATCTCTAACCATTTGTAGGTATAACCCCCCTTCCCCTTAGGGCCTCAACCTCCCGTCGAATCTCCTACGTCGTTTTCTCTCTCTTTCTGGTCGTCATCGACAATGAACAGTGGACCAGGACTCTTCTCCGATATCGGCAAGAAAGCCAAAGGTGCGTTTCCAACTTTGATCTTCTTCTACGCATTGAATTCTCTAAATGATCGAAATATATATGCATACGACTTTGGATTTAGTTTATGTGAGCAATTTTCTATATGTTGTTGGTTATGTGTAGATCTGCTAACAAGGGACTACCTATCGGATCAGAAGTTTTCTGTTTCAACGACCAGTGTTACTGGAGTTGTATGTATCGATTGCATTTTTTTTTCTATCATTATCCTTGATTCTGCGATTTTGTGAGATGTGGCCTATGGATTTGAGCTATTCTTTAGGGATTTTTTAGTTACTAAGAACAAATCACTAATTTTTAGATTTGTTAAATAGGCCTATCAATCTCGCATTTGCCTTTATTATCTCCATCTTTCGATTATCCTAATGGATTTCTCTTTTGGGTTTTCTTTGATTTGGGATTGAGTTGAAAACCTTATGTCGGTTCTGGTTTTCTTCGATTTCCGGTCAATCTCCGGCGCCTCTGTCTCCGCCAACACTTCCACGCCTCTGTCGACATCTTTCCTTGATATTTACTCTTACAACACCATTGATGAGGACTCTGCCTTTGAGAGCTCTACATCTTTTGCATCGATTCCTCTATAACCTTTGCCTATTGTCTTTGTTCTTCAAAATACAAGCAGATTCAAAGCTTGCAAGGTTCTTTTCCTTCAATCCTAGATTTTCAAGTTTTATTTTTATGTCGGTGTAGAAGTTTGTTGTGGTTATATGGATATATTTGTTTTGCTAGATTCTCCATCTAATCTTAAAACCCTTTTTTGGTCCTTTGCTAGATCATCCATCTGATCTRTTAATATCATTTGCTAATTCCTCTTAAACAATTTGTGTTCGAATTCCCAGATTCATATATTGGTTGTTTCTGTTTCAAGTTTTATTTTTTTATGTTGGTGATGAATTGGGTCAAATTCTCAGATCAATTGGTTCCTTGTTTACCTCTAATTTCGAGCAGGTTAGCGTTTATTCTTAAAACATAATATGTTGGTTTATTCTTCACAGTACTCATTCAAACCACCATCTTCTATGTCGTTCATTCTTTTGTAAGTTTTTGCTCTAACTTTAACTCAAGACTACCTTCCAAATTTACCATGTTTACTTAWATACACTGATCGTGTAAATCTATTGTCTTTGTATCAGCCAAGTAGATGCTTTAAACTGCAGACTAAGATATGTTTCAGCATTTCAAATCATCATCGTGAACATTGGCAACCATCATGRAGTGGTAAGTATATGATATTGACCCTTGATTTTGCTTTCATTAATTTAACATAGGACCTTTGTTGTATAATATAGGTTAATCTTGAATGAATCTAAACTAACGAGGTTGAAGCATCACTTTTTAGATACTTTGGCATTATTAAAGAGCTTATACAAATCATTTATTCGATAGTGTTTTTGTTCTAGAATTAGGCTTATTGAACAGTACCATTTTCTTCTTGCTCGGTCGATACACCAACATCTTTTAACTTACTCAATCTTTGTACCCTTTTTTTCATCTTTGTTTTGT